CACGCACCCTGTAGTATCTCTTCACTACCTTCGATTCTTACAAGAAAGAGATGTTCCACTTGGTATTCAAGAGCATTGGACCACAGTGCCCCCGTATCTTGCGATAGCGCCCTCTTTCAATCTTTTTTCCCGCTTCTGTTCATTATGAACTTCTTGCAGCTCTTGCAGCAAATCTATAGTAATCCTTTTTGCAGAAGAAATAGAAATGGTCGATATTGAAGCCTCAACACTCGAGGCCCTTGTTATTTCTGCTATTCTGGCAAGGTGAAAATCAATGAAACAAATGTATTTGGTATTCTACTTGCTGCTGACCTGTTTCTAATGGACGAAGTTAAGGTTAGTACCTAAGTTTCGGGCGGAGAGCGGTGTAGTGGCAAGTGGCGCGCTTACCACGCGCATGGTCCGAGGATCGAATCCTGGGTCGCAGTCGTCCGGGCCAACCAAGCCTTCCATCCCTCCGGGGTCGGATAATTGGTACCAGACTTGTCTGGGAGGATAGAACACTAACTGTATACCATGTGTTGCCGCAACATCATCCTCAAAACCCCTTCTCGGTTTTGAACGGAAATATCTCTATAAGTTTTTGGATTATGGTTATAGGAACTGTGTTGAGAGCTTTTAGTGGAACATCGGATCCACCTAACAGTTTTGAAGCCATTGTGTAGGCTGAATCGCCTTCAAAATACCTCTCTGATCCTGAATGGAAGTGCAATGCATGGCGTATCCCGAAAGGGGTGACCACCGCCGGATGCTTTGTGCTTTCACCTTTACCTGAACTACCTCTATAAAAATTCTGGTTTATGGTTGCAGAAATTGTGTGGCGAATTTCTGGTGGAAACGTTGGATCCGTCTAACTGCTTGGAACTGCGAGCATTTGCCGACACTTATGCCTGTCCGGAACTCCGCAGCACTGCTGATGAGTATATCTTGCATAATTTCCAGGTTATCAATTTTATCACTGTGGCTGAAATCCTTTTCTTACCATTATTTTTTTCAGAACGTTGTTGATACTGAAGAATTCCAACACCTTTCTGTTGACGAACTAGTTGACTGGTTTCAAGTGAAGTGATTAGTACAGATTGGAGGAGGAACAGGTACCTTGAAATTCTTGGGATATATTGGTGTTGATTTCGTGTTTTTCATTTCTATAATACCTTTTTTCATCGCTTCCATCCCCATTGAAAGCACATTCTGCACTGATGTGGTTATTGCGTTAGAAAATAAGCGTAGCTCTGGTGGCTATTTCATATCGTAATGAGAGCAAGAAAAATTTGCAAGGAACCAGTGAGAGTCACTTCGGGCCGAGATCTAGTATGAGCTTCCCCTAAGGTGCCCTATTGGCCATTCCCACGTGTTGCTGCAGCATTTTGATCGTATTCTGTCATATCACGAATTAGGCCTACCTTGTGAGACCCACGCAGGGGTGCGTGCAAACTCCGCCCATGAGGTTAGCACATAATGTGGTTTGAGGAATCCTAGCGATTTTCCCTCTTTCTCATTACCACTGGGCCTAACAACTGTTTTCAATTTGAGCGAGGTAAGCACACCTAGTCAACTGCAGAATGTGCCTTTAAGTAAATTTCCAGGTCTTGGAAGCTGTGCTTCAATGGGTCAGATTTGATCCGCCAGTTCGGAAAGATTTCTGCCAACAGGTAAGCTTAAAGGAGGAATTCACGATTAGAATGAAGGTCGAAGAAAGGGAAACTGACCTAGTTGAGGGACCCACGGACCTCCTGAGGTGTGCGAACTGACGCGCAATTCGCATGGAAAAATTTGACCTCGGCGACCTATCATGCCTCAAAGCTGGCGGGTCCGGCGATCTCCGCCCACCGATCATCTGATCACTCGCCGTAGTTCAATACGTGGCGAGTGATTAGATAGCTGAGAGAGCGTAGTGTTGAAGAGGGCACAGCGATGAGAGTCGCATCAATGCTCGAATCAACGGGCAAGGAAGGGGTACCATTTCTCGGGTTCTGGGCCGTTTCTCATGGTTCTTCCTTCTTTCGTGTACCACTCACCATCCCTAGGTTAATTTGAAATGGGTTGCTTTTTCATCGTGAATTTCGTCCTTTAAAATTTTCTGTTCTACATGCTCTAAGGCATGTCAAACTTGCGAATCGCGCGAGTCGCTAGCGTCGCAGCAGTGAATCACTCAGTGGGCGGTACACGCAACGCGTAACCGCGGACACCGTTCGCAAAGTCTGACATCGGCTGACGCTATTTAAAACACTGGCTGACAGATATGGACCGTGCAGCTTTCCGATCTAGTTTCAGGATTATTCTTTGAGAGCGCAGTTGATGAGGACACATATTGACGGTCGAGCCACATGTAGGTGGAAAAGCCAATGTATGGGCTGTCCTCAGAAGAGCGTTTTGTCTTTAATTTTGTGATTAGCTCCGATTTTCAGGGGGATACCAACGTTATCCACCCTTATACCCTTTGAACGGTCCTGATGCAAGGAGCTCGTATAATCGGAAGCGGAGAATCTGACGGAAAGCTGTACGCTTAGGTATTGTTAATGTAAAACAATTCTCTATGATTTAGCTGGTACTACTTATTATTATTTATTTATTTTATCGTTTATTGTCATTTATTACCGAGTATTAGTATTTTATTGTATTGACCACGGAGTGTTTCTGGAGCTACCGGAATAGGGCGGATAGGGTTACCGAGCAGAGTCAACCCTGCGTTGCGCAGTTCTCAACGGCCACGTTGCGCAGTTTCGCCCGATTAGACACGTTCTCTCGCGCGAACATTCACACTCGCATGCTCGAGCCGTCTGTGTCTCCGCCCATACAGCGTGCGTTGAGGATCTCTCAACGTGCCGTTGCGAACTGCGCAACGCAGGGTTGACTCTGTAAGGGAATCGCGGACGGTAGGGTTTCGACCGCCCCGTTCGACGATTTCAGGAAATTTTAGTAACATCTTCTAGGGATTAAATACGCAGCACCATACGTACGGGTCCTTCATGGAGGTGGGCATCCCCCCCTCAACAGACTTTCACAGACCGATTGTTCCATAGGCTCGATTCGGGGAAACAGGGTGACAGAGTCAAATTCCTCTCCAACATTTCCAGAGCTCGTCGAGAGATGGGGAGGTGTGGGGGAGCGGGATTGGTGAGAATGGATGTGATATATGTCCGCTGGAATGGCAATGCTGCAATTTCACCCATTACTTGACTTTTGGTGGGAATCGCGAAGGAATCCCTCCTTCCCACGCCCCTCACACTCCCCAAACCACCTTTGCCGCAAGCGGCACCTCAACATCCGCAAGGCACGTTGGATTTTGAGCAGGCACTCGAAACTGCCGAACACCAAAAAATGTTAGCTCTCTTTCCCTACCGTGCAAATAATTATAATGAATCAAATCAATAGGGATTTATGTGTTTAGGTGGCAAAATTTGCATTCGTTTCCAGAGAGGACCTGATTTGGGACCGTGCTGATGCCATGGGGTTTCCTTAGCGCTTTTGATGATTGACTATGTTGACTGGTTTAGGAAGAAGGGGGGTGGAAAGGGTTAAGAGGCAAACTATCATGGAAAATCTTCTGGTGGCCCGTTCGATAAGTGATACTGAGAATTTCGATATTTCGATTGACTCAACTTTCAGTCGGTGGCAGACGCAATGGAGCAACCCTCGCTTCTGTGGAGCGTCTTGATCCCGGAGAAGCGGATGCTACCTGGCAGCGAGTTGCTCCCATGGGTAAGCCAAGGTACGCCATTTTTTCCTTGTGACAAATATGTCCTCTGAAGGCCTCATTTTACAGGTGGGGAGCAGGTGTGGCTGTTGTCGACCAATTTCTCTACGTTGTTGGCGGCCATGATGGCGAAACCTGTCATAATGGCATTCAAAGGTATACTGTAGATTCATATACATGAAAGGAATCAAACAGGAGCTCTGGAAAAAGATCGCAAGAGTACGTTCTACCGCGATACTTTTCGTACCAACGGTGTACTCTGAGCTCCACTGCTCATAAAAAATTCGAAAAGCGATCGATTGGTATTCCGTGAAGGGACTACCACATAGTATCCATGATTCATAATAGATTGATTTTGTGATCGGTTAGATTTCCATAGATGGTGATGCCATGGTGGAAGTCGTTGTGGCCCAGGTTTCATCTTGCGCGTCATCTTTTCCGATGACGAAGGCTTGGACACAAGCTGCTCCACCTTTTGCTGCATCCTTGGATAACGCAAGCCAACAGTGTTGAGTTAGACCTGGAAAGGGTTCTAAATTTTGGGAAAATCTGCGTGTAAGCGGAGCTGGTATACACAGTTCCAGCTGGCACCGCTTACCGCGCGAATGATCTAGAGTCAAATTTCTGAATCAAATCTCGCCCAAGTTGCCAGGCCTTATACCTCTGCGGGAGTGGAAGGTTTCCTTGACGTGGGGAGGCGGCAGGATTGTTTTGGAGGGTGAAAAAGTGACTTAGCCATCGGCGTGGCGCATTCCAGAAGGGGTTGATTGAAGCTGAACCTTGTCCCTTGTGTTTCTAC